CCGACGTAGACTTTGCAATTCATCTGGTTGTTCAGACTTAATCTAGATAAGAAGTGTTATAATAAATTAGTACAATTTAAACAAAAAAAATATTTGTATGAAAGTTAATAGAGCACACTTGTGACTATTAGTTAGTCAAAAATAGGAAAGAATCAACAATAAGGGATAGCAACTCACTTCAAGTTTTTTCTCAAGTAATTTACTACCGCCACGCAATCCATACATGAAATCGTATGGGTAGCTCCAATCCCGGACTAAAAATTCCAAGTGCTGATGGAGGAAAATTGAAAATATACAATAGATGAGGCTTAACGGCATTTAGTCGGATAAAGTCTAAGAACGAATTAGTCTCATCCGCCATCCATGCTTAGCATATAGAATTTCGTCATTAATTTTCCAATCAAAAATGTAAAAATTAGTTCCAATATCCTGAATTGCATCTTAAGTCAGACAAGGGAACATCAAATCATTACTTCAGTCTTCTCTTTGAACCAATAAACTGAAAAAGCACTTTGGACATTCAGACATCTTCAAAAAACGTAGTTTAACCGTTAACACTATGATACAAAAAACTCCGCCTTCCTTACAAGCTTATTTCTATATAAAAAAGCTTGTCAATATTAGCCTATTGTAGCCCAAACAAACGAATCTGAAAGACACTAATTACCTGAAAGGGTTTGCAAGATGAGTCTAAAACTTGCTGAGCCAGTCTTCCATACTCTGTAAACAATTGCAAATATTGAAGATTGTCCTCTTGTATATTTCCATGAATGTTATAAACTTGAACGCTACTCAGCATAGTGCTCAGTGCAAAAACTGTGGCGCACTGCTTTACTGTAGTTGAGTTATCAAAAGAACCCTAAAGACGTAAATAGGGCAAGCATTTACTTGAGTGTCCATTAAAAGGACGGCAACTGTGTCCCCTGAGGGGATTTTGATTTTGAATGGTTCACTCCACATTAAAATCCCAGTTGTGTCACGCTCAGCTCCCCCACGCCAATTAAAACCAGAAAGAGGAACATTGACAGCTCCAAGCCAATCATCAGAATTATATCGTGAAAGATAACGAAGGAAAAAGTCTAGCATAAACGATTTTCCTCTACGAAATGCACCAGCAATTGACACGACTACAGCTTTCATGTCCTTAACATCATCTCGAAGAAGAATGCTTTTGAGAGCTTCTTCATTCAAACTAAATGAATTCTTGTTTTCTACCACAACTTGCAAAGGAATCCCAGTCAATTCCATCACTTAATAAATCAAAGCAAAGAAATGAGACAAGCGTCGGGGAAAGCGGGATAAGTCGAACTAAAATCAAACAACACACGCCATACAATGCCATTTGTCCATATACGCTATTAATTTAGTAAATATTTAATATTTTTTATTGTTTAAGCCTTTAATATATTTGATGATAAATAATTTATATATATATTAGAACACTTATAAACATCAGATGAATGCATAGATTATAAGGAATTTTCTAATATATATCAAAAATAAATCTAATTGT